GCATACTTTACGCTGTTATAATAACAACAATTGTATGTAATAATGTAATTGGATTTTTTTTTGCAGTAAATATGGTAATTTATAACGTCCAACGAAAATCTGTATTAATCTGTGCTTTGAGTATGCACGAAAAAAAAAGATTTGTTGAAACAGCTAAGAACTGTACTGGCTCAGCAAATCTACAGCCGTAATACACGGACAGCCAATCTTCTATGTTACAGTAACCAAGTTTCATAGCTGCATAACATTAATGGTTGTAGCTGATAAAATAGAATACTATAGCATGGCAGATTTGTTGGTACAGCAAAGATAACTTTCTAATTAATTCAATTTATATGGCTTTATGTTTCCAAACAAAGTATATTTGTTAAAATAACACATGTTTTTGCTGTTTTACGAAATAAAATTTGGTATATTAACGATCTTTATCATAGCAAAGAATTAGTTGCTTTGCTTAATACAATACAATCTTAGACAGTTACAATTAGATTTAAAGAGAGAACATTATTGGATAAAAGTATTTTATTATTGTAACATATAAAAAGAAAGAGTATTTTTTAATTATAATTTTAACATAATGTATAACATAATGAATGATACGCAAAATGTAACGCAAACGCAAAATAACACACATTAAATAGCATAACGCATTAAAACATATTTTTCATTAGAAATATTTTAAAATATTTAAATATTGTAATTATTGATAAATTTAAGGAGTCAATTCTTAAATAATTTTATTATAACCTAAATAATGATTTCTCCTTACTTACTTTCGAATTCCTTGATAATTTCTTCAGCAAAACGCCACTGTTCGAGTAATTCTCGTATTGTTGTACACATTTTTTTAACAGAAAATCATATACTTATTATATTGCATGTTATTACAAGCAACAAAGAAAAATTGTGTAAAGGAGAAATGCATGCGTACATAGCACCGATATGGTCTGCGTAAACATGTATAATAAATAATGTCCTATCGTTATTCTTACAAATAATGCTCGATTCGAAACGCAGCGATAGTAAGGCTCCTGCGCAGCAGTGTTCCCTGGCGTGCCGAGTTAACCGGCCTGAGTAAAATATTAAAAAAGAGGTGCTGTATGACCTTTGTAAAGGCTTGAGTCTGTAGCATTATTTTAATTAAAATTATTGAATTGTATTTTTCAAACTTAGTATTAGTTTTCTATACTAATTGTATTAAGTAATTTGCATTAGATATGATTACAAAACTGAGTTTGTTTTATGAGCATGCTGACAATTGCTTTCAGATATAACTTTTTTGCTGAACCAACAAATCTGTTTAGTTATAAATACAAAATTTATGTAGCAAACTATAGCTTTGCTAACTGAACAATTCCACTTTTTTCCGTGTGTGCGTTGAATAATTTGTTTTGTCCATCATACATTCGACTTGCGCAGAATCCACACATAAACATTTTGGATTTTTGATCTAAATGCTATACCGGCAACATTTTTCGCTATAATAAAATTTAGTACGAATTCAGCGACAAACTACACTGTAAAAGACTACTGTATAAAATTAATAATTGTAGTGGATAATATTAAAATTAACAATTGCAAACGTAAATTTCCACACGCACATAAATTTATTTTCTTATGTTAAAATTTCAGGTTGGATATATTATGTGTTTCAAATTATTAAATATACAATCTACTTAAATTTACTTAAATACAACATATGCAATGATAATCATATCAATGTATGATAGCAGTACTATTTCTGCAAAATTGTATAAACATGATAAGTAAAATGTGAAAAATGTCAAGAAGATGTAACATATATAATGCTCAATGTGTTTGACATATGACTAAAGAAATCATTATTTATTTCGTTGCAACGCTAAATTATTCTGATTCTAGAGACGTAATATATAAGAATATTATGTGTGATACAATTTTTATGTATACATTTTGTATGCATTTAAATAAAGTATCGCAATAATGCAGTGTGCTTTGTATTATAACAAAGTCTAACTGTTAATTAGATACTTGCAAAATTTATATTATAACAACATGCAAAATTTCTAAAATATATAATTAACAATATAATTAAAGGAACGCTAAAATTCTGTACTTTATTTCCATAAGTAAAATTGTCTCGAAGAGGTATTCTTTTGCACTTAAAAATGAGATGGAAATATCAAGATGGATTTAAACCTCAAGAAATTTTCAATTTCAAACAATTGGAGTCGTCAAATTGTTTATGCAAATATTTCCTTAAATTGTGCCTAAAGTTTGATTTTTAAAACTGTTTGTCAAAATTTGATTTCGCATTGTTGCGCAAAGACATCTTCGTGAAAAATCGAATTACAGAAGTGAAAGTGAAGGCCCTTTTAAACAATTTCGAAGGAATTGTTGTACAACTTTTTTCATAAACTTAAAACAATTAAAAGATCGACAATTTCTTGAAGAAATTTGTTAATTTTTTCTATTTAATCTTTCTGTTAAGTATATAAACAACATTTATAGCAGTAACAAACTTTCAACTACTTATAATTCATTTATCCGTTTGTTTTGTAGCGCATATAAACAGACTACTAAAATATAGAAATTTTGTAAATTTGATAAATTTTTGTTAAATAAATGTAATATATGAGTTTGTGATAAAAAGAAATGTATTGAAATAGATGTGTTAAAGTGACTGAAAATGATTCAATCTTCAGTTATATTTTAATAAAACAATTATTATTATTTAATATATTGATATATATAAAGTTGACAAACTAGTACACATGTGCTTACCTGATATTTTTTTGTATATTTCTAATTAAGTACTGCCGTTTCACAATTTTGGTTTTATTTGTGATAACTGAACTTTAATTGTTATTTTATTACCTATATAAAAAGATAATAAAAATATTATTTTAATAAAATAAATTAAATCTTCAATAATATGATTAATTTTAATATTCCACCAATAAAAGAAAGTTACATTGGCCAAAGTTTGGCCAATGTAATTTTCTGTTTTTTATTTAATAATATATTCTATAAATATTATGCATAACCATACTTAAATTTTATATTATTTATTTATTTTATACTATTCTAATTTTATTCAAACGTTTTCTTCATGATCAATCCATTTTATTTGACAATTCATGCTCGAAAAATTTTAAAAAAGTGTTTATTATTAAAAAAATATTTAATACGATTACACAAATAACGTGCAACAAATAAAGCATGTAATTTTACAAGAATGATTTTATAGACTTTTGTAATTAATTATGTACAGTAACATCTTATTTGCGTTCAGGTAGAATTCTTTTAGAATGCGCGATTTCTCGCTGATCTCCACTAGAATGCAGACTTTTCTTTCCGTTTGAAAATCTTTGCGTAATAGCATAGTACTATTTTACTATTACTCTACAAAGATGGCACGATTAGAATATCAGATGACCATTATTTTTACCAAGTAATTTATTAAATCAGGCGTAGCGTTTCAGTAAATTAAAAAATTGTATTTTGCATTTCTTATATATACAGGACAGTGATTAAATATGTTTCGCAGACATCAAGTTTTTATAAAATCAACTCTTTGTGGTAAACTAGAACAAAATATTATTAATCAAATGGAAAAAGAATAACTTACATAATTTGCAAAACATTTTATACATCCAAGTAGGTATAATTATTTTAAATATTTATTCACAAATACACGAAGCAGAATACTTTTTCTTTAACTAAATTGCATGCGTATGTAAGTTTTACTTTCTTTTGTACTAAATATTTGTATGGAATAATTAAATAAAACGACTATTTTTTATATGAATATTTTGATATGTATGTATTTTAAGTATAACAACTATTAACACATACCATTTATTAACATCCATCTCAGTCTTTAATTATACTTATAATTATACTATTAATTATACCATATTATTATAAATTAAAAAATGTGTTATTTCCATATCTAAAATTATGTATCACAAACTGAACATGATGCAAGCATTATTGATAGCATTAAGTGAGTAATCCAAAAAATTTTACATCAGCATAATATTAAAATAAAAAGGTGGTTAAATTTTATAGATATTTCTAATATTTTAGAATTAATACATAATTTATAAATTTGCTTATGTTGTGCTCTCAATGCGTTTAAGTTTCAGTTTTATGAAGTGTCATGATCGCAATTTATATTTTAATCATAAATAAATTTTAAAATACAATTAATTTAAAATTCATTCAAATTATTTTAATTTATACAAATATATTTCAAATTAAAAATTAAAAACGTATGCCATTGTAATATTTTGTTCTTTCAGATTTTCGATAGCTGTGTGTAAACTGTAACTGCTTGAGAAATCTTGATTATCGAATTTAACTAATAAGCGTTAGTTTCTGATTAAACAAACGTATAAAAAAATTACTAAAGAAAATAATCAAATGATATAATAAGCATTTGTATGGAATATTTTTGAATTGTATAAAGAAATCGTCTCACATCTGTTACAGCATGTATTTCGTTAATAATAAATTTATATTTCTTTAATACTGAAAACCTTATCAATTTTATAGGTCAAACATAATTAAAAAATTTAAATTACCATACTTGTATTTTACCAAAAATTATTATTATAAGAGTATTTTAATTCGGAAATTTTTAATAATATAATAATAATTAAGGAATCATAATGCATTTAAATTACCTAATTTACAAGAAATGTCCAAGATACATATGTGACCAAGATAAACGTAGAAATATAAGAAATCGAAATTATAGTAAGATATGATGATTGTGTCGAATAACATATTGTCGATAAAACTAATTTTGTCTGTACCAAAAAGTCGATTGTTAATTCATAAAATTGTTTTACTTTATAAAATTATAAGTATTGTTTATAAATTTTAAGTAGATTACACATTAGCAAAATATACCAAATACATTCAAATACGTACTTAATAAATTTTAAAAATGTAACTTTGCATTTTGCGTAATACGTAATTTTATAACTATGTTTATAATTTTATAATCAAAAAACGAATAATTACATGTCAAAGATATTATTTTCTTTGCATATCATAGATTGTTCCAATCGCTGAAGTCGGGATTGCTTTTTGCGCAGCTTGTCGTGCTACATGATCGCCGATAGCACCATTCATCTTTGGAAAAACCTATATAAACATTTATAAATATTTGCTTATAAAACGAATTTTCTGGTTATTGTTTGGTTTTGTTCTGCTAAAATACGAATCGGAAAAAGTAAAAAATAAATTAAAGTCATTACTGTCATCTTTTTTCTTCAGTTTGTTTGGCTTCTTGACGGTCCAGCTATGTTATACGCTTTTCGAATATTTGTTAGCTTGTTCAGATGTATTTCAATATGATGGTTTAAATTCGATAATTTTGCATCAAGTGATATTTCGATAAAGCAAAGACTCGCACATCAAAATCATCACCCTTTTTACAGTATTTCCATACCCAACTACTGCCGTTATAGTCATAAGCGAGTGTGTTAAAATGCGAACCATTTAAATAAAGTAATAAATGTTCCAAATTAGACGGTAAAAAAAAGGTTTGACAAAGAACACATTGTGAGATACATTCGTCATGATACTTGAAATACATCAACGGATATCTTCCTCTCTTTCTTCTTCGTATGAAATAACTTCTTCATGATTTTCCGTTATATGTTTATTAAAGTTTGTAGTGTCGATATAACATTTTCGAGAATTGCAAAATTTGCTTCAAAATTTTCCAATATTATGTAATTTTATAATAGTTTACTTATATCTGTGACATTCATTGGCATAGACGTTGTGTCTAATTCATATTTTTTTTTCACTTCTTTAGAATGTTTCTTTGATATGTGATCTTTTAATCCTGGTGAAATAGAAAGAATAAAAGTTTTATTACAATTCATCACATTACACATAACCATAAAATGATCAATTTTTGTGCAGTATTCTTCTATATTTTCTTTTTTATCATACTCTACCACGTGTGTTATAGAATCTGATTGTATGTGATCGTAAAATTTTTCAGACAGAACATTCTTCTTACAAACTAAACAAACTGACTTTAATCCGTCGTAATATATCTTCGGCGTTTCCATTCGCTTTTTGGATACTATGGATTCGACATCGTCTTTATGCTGAGTACATAAATGGCTTCTCAATTGCCAAAAATTTAAATAGACGTAACTTGATTCACAAAACTTGCACTGTGCTAGCTTAGCCTGCGGATATTTATAATAATCCCACACGTTTTCCTTATTTATAGTTATATTCACTTTTGACATTGTGTCTGCTTCAACTGACTAAACGCAGAAAACTGAATACGATATACAGGAGCCTTTCTAACGAAGTGTTTGGTAGAAGGAAACTTAGGAAGAAACATGCTATAGTTTTTCATTTGAATGTAAATATTGATATGTCAGTCAAGCCTATCCAACAGATATCAAGAGACGCGGTGGCATCTCACGTCTACTTTACGTAGCAATTGTACGATCCTGCACTAAACATGTTACAACTTATTCTTTGAACAAATAATATTTGAAGAAATATTATTATTTAATCGTTTCTATCTTCAATAATTACTGTATCAAATACAATATAATTTGACAAATGTATTGATATTGCGATAAATACAATTGATACACTGAGAGAAAAGAATGATAGCAGTAACCATAACTTATAACGTTTTTTGCCACCAATTATCTTAATACATATATGTTCTAACTATATGGTTGATTATTTGTCAATACGTCAGTACGTATAAGGTTATTACATTGCTAACATTATACTAAAAATTTCAATAAAAATGAGTATCGTGATTATAATTATATTAGTATTCAGTTAACTGCATTCACATAGCTCACCTTTATTATTGTACACACACTAATGTACATTGATTGCAGATATATAAGAGCGCGCATTTATATCTATTCCTTTTTATATTTTGTTCAAATACATTATGAAATATTTTCATATTTTTTAACAAATAATTTGATTTCTTTATAATTTCTAAATATTTTGTTAAAACTATATTGTTTAGAATATTATTAATTTATTGATACATATTTCATTAATATGTTATTGTAATTTTCTTTATTTCGCTATTTAAAATTTTCGATATAAAGCGATAATATAAGTAGAGAAAAAAAATTATAAATAATTATTTTAAGTAAAATTTAAAAAATTTTTTATTTTTTAGAGGAATACTATTTGTATGTTATAAATAAATAAAGAATCATATTTTATACGTATGTTTTGATGCATATGTAGTTTAAATATAACAATTATTTTTACATACCACGTATTAACATACACACTCAGTTTCCAATTATACTTATAATTATGATATTAATTATCTAAAATTATTGTAAATGAAAAAATGTGTTATTTCCACATTAAAAATTATGTACCACAAACATGATGCAAGCATTGATAGCACTAAGTGAGTAATCCAAAAAATTTTACATAAGTATAATATAAAAATAATAAAATGACGCAATTTTACAGATACATTTAATGCTATAGAGCAGTGCTCGGAATTAGTCTGAACATTTCAGCCGATTTCCGTGGTATACGCCTCCTCTCCTCTCCTTACCGCGCGCACCGCAGCCGCTAGGGCCAGCGCCGCCGAGCGTTAGGAGCGGCACTATCCGATTATGAGTGGGTTCTTCTCCCTATTTATTAAAATTTAAAAAAATTTATTAAAATTTATTTATTAAAAATAAATTTAAAAATAAAAAAA